CCCTCAGTCTTGCCTCATACGGCATCCCCTGCAAACCGGCCACAAGGTTGGTGGCCGGTTTGCAGGGGATGCCGTATGAGGCAAGACTGAGGGAATTGGGTCTCTTCAGCCTGGAGAAGAGGAGACTCAGAGGGGATATGTTGGCAACATACAGGTATGTGAGGGGATGTCGCATGCAGATGGGTAGAGACCTGTTCTCCCCTGCAGAGGAAGGCAGGACGCGCTCCCACGGAGCAAAGCTCAGGGAGCCAAGGTTGCATTTGGATGCCAGGAAGCACTTCCTGACAGTCAGGACCCCGAGGGTGTGGAATGGGCTTCCACGAGAGGTGATTGAGGCTACATCGGTGCGGGTGTTCAAGGATAGGCTGGACGTCCACATGGTGAGCATGTCGTGAGCGGAGCCGGCTGGTGCCAGAGGTCAGACTAGATGGCCTGGGAGACCCCTTCTGACTCACTCTGTTCCTATGTTTCTATAAACAATATATGTGAAAGTGACATGGGTGGGAAATAGACTGATTTGCCCATTCCTAGTGTTAATTATTCCTTGCATGAGTTAACTAGACACTTTGGCTTTCTGTTTTCTCTCTCACACACACACCATCACCCCAGACTCCTACTCCCAGTTTGGCTCAGGGTTATCCATGCAACAGCCTTTCACCCCTTAAAGCAGAGGTGGACAAGTTCTATAGGCCAGGGACTGTACTGTTCCTGAAGATACCAGGTGCTATCTCTCCATCTGCCACAGACACTGAATTTGTGGCTGAAATTGCGACAGTGACAAAAATAACAGCTTTGATTTTTCTTGCAAGTGTGGTGTACAGGGAGCACACATCTTGTTTGGAAGCAGAATTGGTGTTCCCTGGAGGCTTATGGGTGGCAAACGTGGTGCCAGTGTGTAATTGCAGGGGCCACAAAAAGGGCCTGGGAGCCATATGCAGCCTATGGACTGCACACCCTTGCCCTAAAGCCGCCCATGGTTGTCACAAACACCTCACTTCTTTTCTCCCATAGGGTGAACAAGGTCTGCTGGGAGCACCGGGTCAGGCAGGGCCTCCAGGGCCCATGGTGAGTAGCAGGAAGTGGAGGACCCCTGATCTTTGGGCAGGACAATCCAACATCAGCATCCCTTTTCCCAAGACTTCTATCAGGGGTCCAGTTTCTTCCCCACAGCTTTATTGGGCTTTAGCTGCCTCCTCTTCCCATCCATTTAGCTTAGGATAGGTCTTATGTTGGTATTTATTTGCCAAGAAGTGATGCTGTAAGCCTCTTTCCAGAACTGCCACAAGAGAGCAGTTTGGCAATGGAATACTTTCCTCCAGTTATGTTTCAAAGAACATGAGCATTATGTGCCCAGATGTCTAAAAAGTAATGGAGTGAAACAGCTGCTCCTTTGGATTCACTGAGCAGTCATTGAACGAAAGCACATGGTTGATTCAGACTGGATTCACACTGCAGCTGGCAGCCTTGAGGCAATGACTTCCACTTGTGAAGTAGCCATTGCTGAGTAAACTCCAAAGACAGTCATCAATCACAGCAAGCAGTAGACAGGGGGATACATTGGTGAATCACCACTGGGCTTGGCAAAGTAAACTGGACCAAACAATCAGAACTCTGGCTACTCCTGCATAACTGGATTGTGGCCTGTGTTGATGCAAAAACCAAACCGTTCATGCAACTCTCTTCCAGTTGATATTGACAGGGACTCCATCATTGCAGGCTTTCAAGCAGGCCCAAAAGCAGCAGGCATGGGAAACATGGAGTCAGCGGACCACATGCAGCCCTCCTAAAACTTGATTACCATCCTTGCTGCTTGCCCCCATAGCACTAGAACTCATCAATGCAATGGCAAAGGGGTAGTGTTGTATAGTGGTTAGAGTGAGCCTAGGGCTCAAGAGATCCAGGTTCTAGTCCCTGCTTAGCTGACCTACCTCACAAAAATGTGAAAATAAAGTGGAGAAAAAGAGGACCCACTCTGGGTTCCTTACAGAAGAAAAAAACGGATACAGGTATCATAAATGCATGTGAAAATGCAATGATCACATATTAAAAGGCTGTTTGTGACCAATATTTGTTGGCAAACTGCCTCTTAACATTGTATCATTCCATTGGATTTATTTATTTGGTGGCAAACCACTGAATAAAATTTGATGGCAAATTGGTTTCACCCTTTTGAGTCTCCATCGTGGTTTAGTGTTGAATTTTTGTGGCTAACCACCAACGTTTTGCTGTAGAGTATTGTAGAGCAACAGGCCTGTAGCTCTCGGGGGAATCCAGGAACTAGAATTTGGCCCTCATTTCATCTACCTTATGTTGCTGGCCACTGCTGTGTACATGGACCAGCCTACAGTTGGGTTAGCACTTTATTGGGTGTCACTGCTTGCAATTGTTAATTTTTATTTGACCAATCTTTTTATTCCCATCATGAAACTTTGTTTTATTGTTTCATGGTTTAAAATTTCACTGTGCATTGCTTTGGGAGGGTTTACCTTAAATGGAAGTTAATGAATCTTTTCAGCAAATTAATTAATTCATTAAATCAATGCATAACTTCTTAATGTAACTCTTCTCTTTGTAGGGTCCCACTGGGCTCCCAGGCCTCAGAGGGGATCCTGGCTACAAGGGAGAGAAGGTGAGCAGAAACAGGCATCTGCTAGCCAGCAGAAAGATGAAATCCAAACTTAGATGTTCCAATCTCCAGTTACCTGGCCTCCTGTTCTAAAAGTGCTTATTTGTGCTTGTGGTAGCTGCCTGGTTTAATCCCTAGCCTGCCTTTTCACTTGATCTTAAGATTTAGATGAGGTCTTGCATCACTTGTGACCCATGAAAGTGAATGAAACTTGTATGGCAGTCCAGCTGAGACTTGAGAAACCTGCTGTGTTTGCACACCTGCCAGGAGTGACAGAAACAGGATTGGAGTAGCGGGAGATGGTTTAATTGCTGACAAACCTCTGTATGCAAGTAGCAGTGGTGGTGGTGGCAGCATGTGTTTGGTTTGGCAAATCAGCTGTTGTACAGACCTCTTTTAGGGTCATTTACACCAGCCAAGCAAAGCAATGGACCCAGAAATAAATATAATACAACCCCCTCAAAAAAAGCAAAATTATGCAATCAAAATTAAAATGTTTGACCTTTTAAATTTTCAGCATAAGTATAGTATTATGCACCCAAAAAACTCACAGGTGTGTAACATATGTCAAACATACAACAATATTTATGAGGCACAGTACTAGTTAGTGAGTGCACATTATACTAAACTATAATTTGTGATCTTAAACTGCACATAAAATCATAAACATACCAGCAGGTAATGTGAGAGGATGTTGGCCTCGCTTTTTGGAGCATGGGAATTAAAAGGAATCCATTTTGCTGCTATTTGCAGCAGGTAAAGGAAATGAAGCAATTGATCTATCATTCTCAAAAAGTCCAGAAATGAAATAACAATTCAGAGTTTCATCTGACAGCCTTGTCCTGTGCGTTGTTATGCAGAGATGCTTCAAGACTATTTTTTGAAGACAACTTACTATAGTTTATTATTGTCATATAAAAGATACTGGAATAATAATAGTGTACTATTTATTGGAAGATACCAATAGCATGAGACACTAATACTAAATGTTATTACTTGGTAAAAACACCATGAATTTACCATGAATTAATGTATGGCGTATGTGTAGCTTTTCATACATTATACATGGTTAAATGGAGGCCAGTGTGCTCTGCAACTGCATACAGTGATGTATATGATTTTGTGTGTAGTCTCACATAGATCATTGTTTATTGTTATAGAGACAAACTATACTCACTTTATATTCATGTGGCATTACATTTTGTGTGTGTTTCTCTTGCATCACATGGACATGAATCTTTAGGTGCATTCATATTGCACTTATTTTTCAATTAAATATTTCATACATTTTTATTTTGACTGTATAATTTTGCTTTTTTGTATTACATTTATTTCTGGGTCCACTGATTCAGTTGCTCACTATCTTATCTTAATGGACCTCTTCCCTTTTGTTTTGCACTGGTAGTTGTTGATTCACACAAGACTAAGTCAACCTATCATCCCATTGGAAAGCTCTGTTTGCATTGACTGCTGCAAGTGAAAATTGTTGGTCTAAATGGCCCAGAAGAACAAGTGTGGCCCAGCGGATATCTGTACGGGCAGTCACTGAGTTATGAATGTCCAAGTTACAGACATCCCATACTTATGAAAAAATTTCCATAAAGCCTTTTAATTAAAAAAAATACTGCAGAAAATAATCACCATAGTGAGGGAGGAAACAAACAGAGAAGAAAAGGAGGGCTTCCAAAGCATCACCATAGAGAGAGGAAGGAAAGGGGAGAAAAGGAGGCCTCCAAAGCACACCTTTCTTCCCTGCCCATCCAGAGATGGAAATCTTTCCAGCATTTCCTTGGTGCAAAGAGGAGGCACCAGTGAGTTTGGTTGGGGAGGGGGCCTACAGATATTAAAGTTTTTTTCCAGCTTCATGGGGCTCCTGTGGCTCTAATTCCCACGAATGTGGAGGCTGACATTACATGATCTGATTTACATACACATTCGACTTAAAGATGAATTTCTACTTTCTCAGGAATGGAACTCGTTCGTAACCCAGGGACTGCCTGTATTATAGAGCTTGGGACTTGGAATCTTGGTTTCAAATTCTTGTCTGGTCACAGACAAGTCATTTTCTGTCCATTCTCATGCTGACCTTTCAGAGCTGTCCTGTCTCGCAGAGTTAAAATTGTGTTATTGATGATGATGATTCTTTAGATGTCTCTTGAAAAGAGTTTCAAGGCAATTGAGCAGGGACTTGGACCCGATGGCTCTCAGTGCATTTCTCTCTCTGGTCCTTCCAATTCTACTATTCTGTGATTCTATGGAAATTAAGGCATGCAAACTCTAAAACAGTCAAATTACAACCTCTCCAACTAAAACATCAGTGACAGCTGTATATAATTCCATTGATGAGTGAAACAACCTGTCATAAGGTGTGAAAGTCTTAACTTGGTGCCAAAAAGATGACACTTTTGGCCTCAGGTAGGTCTTGTTGGGGCAAAAATTCCATAACTGGGGAACCCTCTTCCATGTTGCTATCCTCGAAATGTCCCTTAGAGGAGGCACCCAGAGGAAGGTCTCGGATGGTAGACAAGGTACAGGTAGGTTCATATGAACATGAATGAGCCATGATCCAGAAATAACATGTATACAGAGGCATCATCCACAATAAGTCTATAAAGAGTTAACACAGCAAGGCTTCATGACTGGGACAGAAGTTCCAGTACTATCCTCCTTCATCCTGCCTCAGCATCATTTCTTGAGGTCTGTCTCTTTTCCTCAGCCTTTTCCCTTCCTTTCTAGGGCCATGCAGGACTGATTGGGTTGATCGGCCCCCCAGGTGAGATGGGTGAGAAAGGTGACCAGGGGCTGCCAGGGAACCAGGGAACACCAGGCCCTAAAGGCGACCCCGTGAGTAGATGGGAGCTCAGCTGAGATGGATGGGTGGAGGCTGGGAGCAAAGATGTGAAAGGGACTCTTTGCAGTTTGGCCAGACAGAGCCCCTGCAGCACCCCATGTTCACTTTCTGCTTCCACTTTAACAGGGAATTGTGGGCCCCATCGGCCCTCCAGGCCCACCTGGATCTCCTGGTCTCTCAGTAAGTGCCTCCCCAACATCATACTGGATTCTAGGTTGCCTCCAAAACAAGACCTGGCAATGCACACCTCTCCCTCTCCTTCTCCCTGTATGTTTACATATTGCTGATTTATGAAGGATTCATTTTAAGTGCAATCCTATGCAAGTTTAGACTGAAAAAAGACCTACAACTTCCAGCATGCTGGGATTTGTGCCCCCACTCCCCTTAAAAAAATGTGTTTCATGTTATATGTCTATTTGAAAAATGCACATGAAAAAATGTGCCATTTGGAAAATGCATTCAAAAATGCTTTAGTCAATGGGAGGAGAATGCATGCATTCCAAAGAAGTTCACAATTGATGGGTAGATCATCAATAGTGGATATTGGGTAGAGAAGGATAGATGGATATCAGGTGGAATGATTCGTCTGATAATATGAAAAGAATTTTCCGGCAAAAAGAAAAATGCAACAATCACAATCTCATACTGATTGAAGTCAGAACAAGCTTCAAGATGGAATGTGGATTACTCTGGCAAGCTCAGGTTTTGCTAATTCACACATCCCTATTATGTGTGCATGGGCACATGTGCTCCTTGCCTGTCCAAGTGAATGATTTTACATTTTGTTCAACAAAGTATTTGTAAGGTTTTTAATCTTTGTAACTGTGCAGATAGCTGAGCTATCAGGCAATACAGAAGTGTAATAAATGACATGTCATGTATTCATGACACAAAGACATAAGAGATCCTTTCCAGAGGGATGCTGAAAGATGTGGCCCTGTTGGCAACCAGACCGAATTCCCCAGTAGAATTCATCCCCTCCCTCCCCTTTCATACCCAGCTCACATTTCCCCTTACAGGGGCCTGGGTCCCTCTCCTTTGCTACTGTGGCCCTCTCCAGTCATAGGGGATTTACTGCAGCCTTCCAGCTCTCACCATTTCCATTGCCACCACCATCCAAGCATGCTTCCTCCTTGACATGCTGCATCTCTCAGCTCTCTCTCCTCCCTTCTTATCCCTTCTCTGCCTGCACACAAAACCCCTACAAGCCTCCCCATTGTTCACGAATCCCTTTTGTGTTTCCTCAGGGACCTCTGGGACAAAAAGGCAACAAAGGCTCACCAGTAAGTAGCCCCACTCGCAAGGGCTGCTGTAGGGTGGGTGGAAGTGGGGTGGCAGCTTGGGCCAGGGTGGTGAGCACTTAGAAAACTAAGATTCAGAATATGTTAATGATGGGGACGATGACTGTTATTTTGGACTTCTATGCTAGAAGAACTCAAATTGTGGGTCAAGAACAACTAATTTGGTACAGAATCGGGCTGCTCGACTTGTGACAGGAACACCTAGAGTGACCCATATAACACCTGTACTAAAAGAGCTCCATTGCTTAACAATGGTGGCCTGGGCCCAATTCAGGGTGCTTGTTTTAGCCTAACCCTAAACAGCTTAGGCCTCGGTTATCTAAAGGAGCACCTGCACCCATATATGCCTACCTGGCCTTTAAGATCAATGCAGGGGGTTTGCTTGCATGAGCCATCCCTTAGGGAGGTGAGAGGGGTGGCTGCTAGGAGGCCTTTTCTGCTGCTGCTCCCCACATTTGGAGTGCTCTCTCTAAGGAGATTCCCCTGGTGCCTTCTTTATGCTCTTTTCAGCACCAGGCAAAGATCTACCTCTTTAAAAGATATTTTAATATTTATTAGTCACTACCTAACCCTCCACTTGTATTGCTTTTAATGTAATTTTATCTGGTTTTATATTAATTTATGCCATCATTTTATTGTTTTATAAAGTATTTTAATTGCCTGTTGTTAGCTGCCTAGAGATGCCATGGGTGAAATAGGTGACATATAAATGTTTAAACAAATAAATAAGTTCTGCAGCCTGAACAGTCCTATTAACAAATGTACCAGGATTTGCATCTATTGCCTGTTGGGAAATCTGTTCTGCTTAAGCTAGTCATGGGAAGGGACAAAGAAACTGGCAAAAAGAAATCAGACTCTTCCCTCTCCATCTTCTAATGGTAGCTTGTCCAAACTAGTAAACCTCTGTCTGACTCCAGGTGGAGGCTTCCCTGACTGAATGCTCTTCAATGCAAATTGAGCCGCTTCATATAGAAACTTAGATTATGGAGGGGAAGGTTGCTAGCCTGCATCTTGTTTGCTATATGTGGCATGTGGTAGGAAGTAAGTCAGTGCAGATCTACCACTGAGTGGGCACCAGGTTGTAGACCCTTGAGCAGGTGAGGCAAGGAGGGTGCCAGTGCTCAGGAATAGGGAATCAGCACCTTGGCCATGTTTCCCCCTAAGTATGGCCTTGTGTTTCTACACAGAAGGGGCTGCGCATTTGTGTTACTGCTCTGATCTCTTTCCTTGCAGGGACCCAATGGACCAAAAGGTGACCCAGGGCCTCCAGGACCCCCAGGGCCACCAGTGAGTGATGGCTGAGAAACCTCAGGGAGGGGTTCCCATCGGGCAACCATTACCTGCTTCCTCCCAGACCTGCTGTGTCATGTGTCCTCTGTTTCTCCTTCTTCCCCTCTGCCTCACATACTCAGGGCCACCCTGCTGAGCTGCATGACCCTGTGCCTATGGACAGTGGCCGCAAGAGCCGTCAAAACTGGGAGCTGGGGGAGCAGGGCGATGCGCCGGGGGCGGTGGATACTGACCCTGACACCGATGGACTGGCGGAGGTCCTGGCAGCCCTGAGCTCCCTACGCGATGAGGTGGAACAAATGCGATGTCCACTGGGCACCCCGGAGAGCCCAGCCCGGGTCTGCAAGGAACTTCAGTTTTGCCATCCCCACCTCACAGATGGTGAGACTGCAGGCAAACACAGCCACAGGATAGAAATGGGCAGAGGCAGGGCATAGGGGGTTAAAGGGTTGGCCGGGGACTTAGAAGATCCAGGTTGTGGTCCTTACTGGACAGTGAAGCTTGCTGGGTCACTGACTCTCAGCATAACCTACTTCACAGGGTTGTTGTGAGGATAAAATGGAGGGAAGGTAGATCATAGTCACCACCTTGGGTCCCTTGCAGGGAAAAACAGTGGGCTAGAAACACAAAACATGAATAAGTAAATGAAGGGCAGGTGCTTGTACCTGCAGTGCCTCCAAGCCTGTAAGAAGTAGGAGAAGGATTGTCTCTGCTCCCTCCATTGCAGGCTTCTCCAATATGATGCCCCCTCCAGAAGTTTTGAACCCAAACCCCCTTCATCCCTGACGATTTGCCATTCTGGCTGGGGTGATAGGAGTTGTAGTTCAAAATGCCAGGAGGGCAACAGGCTGCCCACCCTTGATCTAAGAAGTAGACCTGAACTGGGTTTCAGCTTTTAACCTGTTCTGGTGTCATCCAGCAAACTCAGGGATTGAAATTATTCCAGGTCCAGGGAAGTGCAGTTCCCAGCGCTCCTTCCAAGAAGTCAGGACTGATAAACCATGGGAAGATTTTCAGCAGGGAATGCCAACAACTCCAGTGTTGGTGGAGCTCTGTGTCCTTTGCAGCATTTGCTCTGAGCCATATAGAAGCAATCCACGGTAGTGCAGTAACATTGAGGGTTGAGTTCAGCACCATGGATAGCTCCTATAATGCTCAGGGCCAAAGGCAGGAATGCATGGGATCCCTATGACATAGGAGTCACCATCCTTCCCAATGAATACCACTCAGCACATTCTGGTTTGGAGACCTGCATGGTGCATTTAGCCCTCCAAGCAACTCAGGGCAAGTGGGCTGGATTTGGGAGGAGCCATTACCATTCCCTAAGGGTTCCCCAGCTTCAACCTCCCTCATAGCCATCCTTCTGCCCTTCCGTAGGGGAATACTGGATTGATCCTAACCAAGGGTGTGGCAGAGATGCCTTCAGAGTTTTCTGCAACTTCACAGCTGGTGGGGAAACCTGCCTATTCCCTGACAAGAGATTTGAAGCTGTAAGTCATGTCCTCAGTATCAGTAGTGAGAATGGGAGGCAGGGTGGAGGGAGCAGGTGGAGACCGTAAGAACTAGCCTGGTGCTGAAAAGAGATTCCTTGGCCCAGGAACTCAATTTTAGCAGGTGACCAAGCTGACATTTCTCATTTTTTGCTCCTAAAATGAGCAACCAATATGCAATCTGCACCATCAGGTTCGACTCGCCGCCTGGAACAAGGAGAGACCGGGGAGCTGGTTCAGCACATTCAAGAGGGGCAAGAAGGTAGGGCTTTGTGGGTCATCAACCTGCTTACCCCTAGAAGCCGTGCAAGATGGGCTTCTCCCTTGCCCACCAACCACCCCTGTGTGGCGGAATAATTGTGGCATGAGCTGGAGAGAGCAGAGCGAATTTCTGCTGCTCCTCCAACCCATGCTGCCCCTACTCTTCTGCTTTGTGTTCCCAGTTTTCCTACATGGATGCTGAGGGCAACCCCGTGCAGGTGACCCAGCTGACATTTCTGCGCCTGCTTAGTGCCATCGCCCACCAGAATTTTACCCTCCTCTGCCAGAACGCGGCTGCCTGGTATGAGGCCCGCACGGGCAGCCATGAGAGGGCCTTGCGCTTTCTCACCTTCAATGGAGTGGAGCTGATGCACAACACCACAGAAGCTCCAGTCCGCATCTTGCATGATGGCTGCCAGGTGAGGTCTTGGCCTTCCTCTCTATTTCCCCCAGGTCTTTCCCCAAATCTGGCTTCCTCTTCCATGTCCCCCTGGGTATGTGTGATGCGTAAAATCCTGGAGTGGAGGAAATAACTTGGGAGATGTCTGTCAAGGGATGGAAGTGTGGCCCTACCTGAACAAGCAGCCCCTTCTTCTCCCCTTCCCAGTTGGCTTTGCCCTATTTTTCATTCTGTTGAGCTGTGCTTCCTCCATTTTGACCATCTCTCATCTGGTGGGCTTCCCTAAATGTTTTAAAGCTGCCAGACAGGTTGAGATTTAACTATTTGAGCTGCTTTGTCTCTGACAGTCTTGGCCAGTTGGCAGTTGATGCTTAAAATTTTGGCAACCTGAGAACAAAGCAGAGAAAAAGGATTGATCCATTGATATTTGATGTCACAACACGGACCTTTGTCGCACCATTGTCACACTGAAAGCTTGTTTCTTGATGTTGTGCATCAGGTGGATGGATCATTTATAGATGGTATGCCTGTCTCCCAGGCAAAAACTCCTCTCTTATCTCTTCACATTTATCACATTCCTGTTCCTTGTTTCTTTACTTTCTCCCCACCATACCAGTAAAGTTCTCCCAGAGGAATAATGTAGACAAGCAGCCTGATATAAGCACTGAGCAGGCCAGTCACCTATCTGACAAGCAAATGGGAACTGCAGCAAAAAAGTTGCAGTGTATTTATACTTCCCAATAGGAGTATTTGTCTTGAGGATACAAGCCAGCCATTCTCCTCTCTGCAAGAAGCCCATTTTGTCCCTTCCCTACCTCTCCAGCCCTTATCGGACTATTTGTGGCAGGAGGAGAGAAGGTCCCCCCTTTACTTTAAAAAATACATATATTTATACTTCATTTATTTTGATTCCCCTGAGCTCACTGACAGCTGCTGCTCATTTCGCAGTGGCCACATTTTGGCTACAGTTCCATCCATGCTCACCACCTGCTTTGCTAATTGAGGGACAAGTAAGGCCGTGTGACAAAATCTTGCTTGTGTGCGGAGGCAGTGGGAGTACTGGTGCCCACAGACTTCTCCCCCACTGGCTATTTCTCAGCGTGGGTCCTTTGAAGTCGCAGATTGGTGTTGGCAGAGAGCCAAAGCAATCCACATCTTCCAAGTTCTACTTTTCTGAGGCAGGAAAGTGCCCAGAATGAGAAAGCCTTCCCACCGGAGAAGAGGCCGTGGGCTGCTCTGTGCCAGCTGGTGCCAGCCGCACTTTTTAAAGCTTCCACTTCTGAGGAGGGGAGGCTGCCAGAAGCGGCACAAACCTGCAAGCGGCAGCGGCTCCCCTGCCTGGGAAGGGATGGTGCGGATGCGGCCTGCTGGAGCTGTGTGCGAGGAGATGGGCTTTCCCTCTGGAGCTGCCTCAGCCTCCCCACCTCTGTCTCCTCTGGATGGGTACATCCCCATGCAGCAGGCAAGAGAGGGGATTCTTTGGGGTTTGGTTCTTTCCTCTTCTATGGTTTTAACCAAATAGAAGAGGATTCATGCATGCAAACTTGGGGTTCCTTCGAGCATGTAAACACCCCATTTCTCATTGGAGGTGGTGTTGGCCATTCCTCAGATCAGCAGCTCCCTTCCTGCCCCCACAAGCTGTGCTGCTATAGGGAAAGATGCTGCAGAGGAGCCGTCCCCCTGTTCAATTCCCACCCTAAGCCTGTCGTGCCCTACAGAACTGCACCCCTTTCCAGTTCCCTGTGATACGCAGCACATGCTCATGGGAGCAAGGTGATTCTCCCCAGCACCAGAATGTGGGTTTCCTTCCCAGGATATCCCGCTCCCTGGTCAAGACAGAGCCAAGGACCATCTCCACTGTCATGTCTCCCTGATAGCCTTAATGTGTGTCATCTGTGACTTGCCCCGCTACCTGGAGCTGTCTGTTGCTCAGGCACCTTGGCATTAGGGCATCCCTTTGGTGCAGTGGTGATGATGCAGGCAGAATCTTGGCTGCCTGCCTGGCTTCCAGGGCTGACATCAGATTGCTGTGGGCTCCAGAGCAAGAGGAACTCCACTTCCACTCAGTTCCCCCTTTACTGCCCTATCACTCGCATCTCTTGGAGAGACATTTAACCATGGAGTAAAAGTACTCCTGTTTCCTGCCCTTCTGAGTGGGGCACCTCTGCTTTTGTGGGGTTCAGGCCATTGCCTGCTTGCAGAGCACATCCTTTCTCTGCCCATGATTTTATGGTTCCTTTCCTGAGCCCTCCAGTTCAGCAAGGCCATCAGCTGATCTCCTAACAGCTTCATCCCGGCAAGCACTGAAAGCGCAGTCAGATCAATCACATTACACTTCTTCTCCCTTGACACTCTCTTCTTTACCCTGCAGGTGCGCAAGGGCCAAGAACGGACAGTTTTGCAGGTCTGGACACCACACGTGGAGCAGCTGCCATTGGCTGATGTGGCTGTTCAGGATTTTGGAGACACCAACCAAAAGTTTGGCTTCGAGCTAGGGCCAGTGTGCTTCGGCGGCTGAGTCCTTCAGAGAGGGACAGCTCCCTCTAGACTGTGGGGCCACTTCCACCTGAGAAAGGGAGAGCTGAAAGCCCCTTCTCCCTGCACTGGGGGAGTGGGCTGCAGGAGAGGAGCCAGCACTGCAAAGACCTGCCGTTGTATTTAATCAGCTGACAGCCTCCTATTTATGCGGCCAAGGTCTCTCCGGGCCATGACTCTTGGGGAGCAGTGCAGAGCCCAGACTGAGCCAGGGCCCTCCCTTTCTGCATCCCCAACCATTGGTGCTATTATGCCGTCTTAGTGAAGCACTGGACCTACTGCCCGGCACTGGCCACCTGTAGGGATGGGGGCAACGGAGACTACATCCCACACTGCTGACCTTCTCCCCCCACACACAATATGGGCACAGAGTCATCAAGATCTTGTCTGAAGCCTCTTGGGAACTGGGTACTTAGGGCCAGTCAATTGGGAGAGCCACCCACGAGTGGACATGGACACAGGGACTGGATGGAGGACATGGGGCACTGAGTTCAAAGCCAATGTACCACCCCAGATGGAGGAACAGGATTTGGATCCAAGGCTGGAGGCTGAGCATAGGGCTTTCAGAGCCAACAATCTGGCCTCATGGACTTCAGTTCAATCAGAAAGTGCTATCTTGGTATAACAGTGGTGCCCCACCTTTTCTGTATAATCTGGGTACAACAGATGCTTTTAAGATCCTCAGGGGAGTAGGTGGTTAGCCCCACCAGAAGATGCCCAGATACTCAGCTTGAACCCTGTACCCCCTTGTGACTGTTCTTCACTGTTGCCTGCTTAAACTGCGTTGCCAGATGATAACTCTGGCATATTGTCCAGGGAGCTGGGAAGAGGCAGAACCTCCAAAAAACCCCAGCTGAGAAAATTCTGTCATCTCTAGGGACAAGCAAACAAGTGATTCTTTCTGATTACTCACAGTTGGAAGCTTGTCTTGCCTCTTTTCCCATAAGTACTCGCAAATGGGGAAAGTGTGCATTTCAAATAGGAAAAGGTGCATTTTCGAAAGAACACACCAAAAATGTGCACTCCCCACCCACCCACCCACCCACCAGGTAAAGTGTAAAAATGAGCATTTCTTCTATATTGTGCCTATGAATGGAGGAATACATAAGTATTTTCAGAGAACATGCTCTCCTGCTCCCCTTCGCATTTAGGCCTGTGATCAGGGCATGTTCACACTATTTGCAAACATTAGTCAGACTTTCATACATTCCTATACACCTTCATGCTTGTGGGAGGAACTAGTGGCAGTGCTTCCCCTGCCCCTCATCATCCTTGCCTGTCACTCCATCTGTGTCAGGCACAGTGTGGAGGATTCTGGGACCCTGTTTTTCTTGGCAGATGCCTGTAAGCTGGGACTCTTGATTTTGCCATTCCCATCTCTGTGCAAAGAGAAGATAGTGTAGCATGGTTCTCAGCTATCCAAGAATCTATAATTCTCATGGATTTACTGTTCCCTGAAGCCCCTAGGAGTGGTTATAGGACAGAGGCTTGAACCCTGTACCCTGCCTTCTGTACTGTTCCACGCTAGCCCATAGCACTGACCTTTCTTCAACCTTTGGTGCTATAAATGCCTACATTTGTATGCTTCCTCCTTGTATCTCAGGCTGTGGCACCCACCGGGTATGTGTGTGCATGTGTTTGTGTGTGCATGTATGTGTGTGCGTGTGTTACTGTATCATCTTAACAATGTGTATTAAACCTCAGAACGTGTGATTGCCCCACTCTCTCTGTGTCAGCTGGGAGTGCTGGAGAGACCAGCCATGCCGAAATTCCTCAGGTCTAATATCAGGGTTGAAAGTCAGATAGAAAGACTGCCAGGTTGCTTACCCTGAAGATTAACATTGGGGGATGACATGGGAGTTGAACCTTTCAGCCCAAGGGCTGGATTCAGTCCTGAAGAAGTTCTCTGGGGCCACCTCTCAGAGCCAGAAAGGGTGGGACCAAGGGCAAAGGGGGCAGTGACAGCACACCAAAAAATGCAAGTATGTTTTATGTTCAAGCTGCTAACAAAGCCTTAAAATGTTCATTTCAAGTATTGGTGATTTGGGTCAGAGGACTGTGCCGATTGAGCAGTTGGGGAGTTGGGGAAGGTAGTGGGACCAGGGTAAGGGAGCATGTCCATCTGAGGTACCCTGGAAGTGACCCAACCAGGCTGAATTTGCCCTGCAGCCCTGGAGTTCAACAGGCCTGCAGTGTAGGTTCTCCCCTTGGTATGAGTACCAATGGTTCTGTTTGACTGCATTTCAACTTCTTTCTGGAGATGGGGCTGCTTTCAGTCATGCCTCTACCTCTCCAAGGTGAAGGGAGGGCAATACAATTCACCACCTTCATCCGCCTTGGCATCAAGCAGGTGTTTCATCCATGGCAAGAGCTGCCTTCCTGATAAACGAGCAGCAGTGCTGAGGGAACAGGACACACTCCATGCAAATCCTCACACCCATGAAGTGTGCTCCCTCACTCTTCCGTGATTTTTGGGAAATGTTGTACAATCTAAAAATCCTATTCGTAACTTGCATTCCCAACTGTGCATCCCTGCTTCTGCTTTGACCAGGGAAGTCTTGGGGGCGTTGTTGTGAAAAATAGTGAAAATGCCAGGGGCAGCATTTGCCCCAGGGAGCATCTAGGCAAATGTGGGGTACATTCATTCTCCCCTCCTTCCCTCCCAGTGCAAGGTGGCCAAGAAGGCTTTATTTGCCCTTTGTGATGGCAGCATAGAGCCAAACCTGACTGGCTAAATGGTGCTGTGACTTCATATTTGTTACATGATCTCTGATGGACTGGGGTCATACAGTGAAAAAAACACAGTAAAAAAAAAAAAAAAACAGGTCACCCCAGACCAGCAGCAAAGCAGGGCTTGAAAAGATATGCTAAAAAGTAGAAGAGTTTTTTCTGCCCAGCGACTGCCCTCCATGGCAGCATTCACAGCAAGATTAGAAAATGTAACAAATTGGGATACAGGGGATAAAGAGATGGCCATGCTTCTAGAGAGTGTTATTAGTTTTAGCAGTTAGCTGTGCCATGAAGATCACAGGAAATGGATTCATAAATTCAAATATTTCTTATCTATCTCTGCCACACTTGATTCATTTTTGCCCATTCTTAAGGCTTAATTGCAATTAGGATGAATTAAAGCTCATTTTCCTTTTTAACTCGGGGGGGGGGGGGGGGGGGGCTTGACCCTGGACATGGTAATACTTAAAGGAGACTGAGTGAGAGAAGACCACATCCCAGGCAGAGTGCATGTCTATCTCAGAGTAACAACCCCTGCCACTCCCATGTTTTGGAATTTTAGGCAGGCTCACATTGCGGAACCTTTACAGAAATTTAATTACTAAGTATTCAGTAGGAGTCCTTTAAAAATGCATCAATTTGCAGAAAAGATTATATCAGAAGAGGTCTTCTATTACATCTCTAGATCTTGAACTGGACCTCTGATTCTTCTTTTGTTTCCCCAGCCCTTTCCTGAGTGCAATTATTTGGTGAAACATCAAAGATCCAGGTCTTTTGCCCCAGTGCAAGACCATTTGCCCATGAGGCCATAACAGCCTCCCCCAGTTTGGTACCTTCCAGATGTGTTGGACCACAGCTCCCATGCTGGGTGGGAATGCTAGGAGTTGTAGTCCAATACACCTGGGGAGCACCAGATGGGGGGCAGCAGACTGAAGAAGGCTGTTCCTTTTGGTTCCCAGTGTACCCTTGTGTTGGCACTGGACAAATAACAGGTGAACAAGGTACATTGCAGTAAAGGTTCCTCACGGAACAGATCACTCTACATTTCCCAGGCAAGCTGGTGGCACAAGATACTTCAGGAGAAGGCTGAAAACCCTCAGAGTCACTAGTTGATCTCAGCATTGATCAATTTAGTCTTAGACTTTGCAAGGGAACACCATTTCTGAAACTGAAGTCAGCATTCTTAATATTCCTCTGCTATGCATCCTATTCACCTTTGCCCATGGTAATTGGCCTTTATTATGCAGACTCATGGCACACAGAACTGTTCAGGACTGCAAGGGGTGAAGTCTTTCACTCTGTAGTCTTAGCCTGACAGTTGACTTTTCAAATGCAAATTTCCACCTGTACCCTTCCTGAAGGTCTGGAATGCAAGCGTGTGTGCCCAGGGGAATCAAGCACAGAGCCGGGGCTTGCTTGAGTGGGGTGGATATTTGGCCTTCACTCATGCTTTGCCTGCTGGATTGTGGACTGTGCTTTTGGGACAGCTGACTTTTTCAGTGGCATCCCTCTTTTATTATTGGGCAGTTGTGCTGGAGCTCCTGGAGTCAGGCTGGGTGGTTTCACTGGGCATGATGAGCCAGCCTACCTGGAGGGTGCTAGCCAATCAGGCATGTCAAGGTAGGAGTCATCGTGCCTCCCTCTGCCCCATGTTCAGTCCTCCCAGAGCTATCTCATGGGGCATCCTGGGAGCAGCAAGGTTCCCCCTCTCCCTGAAAAGTGTGGGTGAGGATTTAAGCACACCGTTCTGTCCAAATCCAATGCTCTGTTTGCTGTGCTGCACTGGTATCTTATAGTTGGGGGCAGGAATGATAATTTTATCTGCCAGGCATCGAGACAGCAGGAGAAAGGAAGACAAGAGCAACACTCAGAACTAGGCAGAAGGAAAAATTCACAAAAGGAAAGAACCTGATGGGGGGCGGGCATGTTTCTACCATGGCGTTCTACATTTGAATACGAATATTAAAGTGGGAGAACATTCAGTACTGTCCTGTGTAAGCTGTCCCTGCATGTGCGATGGACTGGACACCATGGAGATCAGGGTTCTAGTCCCCTCTTGGGCAGGAAGCTCACTGGGTGACCTGGGGCCCATCACTGACTCAGCCTAGCCTACCCTGCAGGGTTGTTGAGAGGGTAAAATGGAACTACGCCAGCTGTCTTGGGCTCCTCACAAGAAGAAAGAAGATGGGATAGGATGCAAAGTAGTATAGTAGCAGCAGCAGCAGCAGCAGTAGTAGTAATAATAATAATATAATAATAAATAGTTCATCAAAGCTGTGTTTCTTAAACCTCCTGACAGCTGAGAGACAAGGCTGCCCCAAAACATTTTTCTGAGTCAAAGCTGGAAGTGGGATGCCTCTCCAACACACACACACACACACACACACACACACACACACAGAGGGTACACATAGTACTCAAGGCTTGTCAACATTATTTTTGGTACCTGGCACAGACAATCCCACAGCCTCCCCTCTATTAGTACAGCTACAAGAAGAATAATTTGCAAGCTTAGCATGCCACCCCAAACCAGCAGCCTGAAGCAGCTGTCCCACTCTCCCCAGAGGTGCCCCTCTCCAGCCCCCTCCCTCCAAATTAGAACGAGAAGCAAGCTTCACCCTTACACTTAAAGGCTGTTCTGTAGGAGTGGGGTGGGACTACAGTTCCCTATTGGTACAGTCAGTGGGGAAGGAGGATGGGAGCTGTAGGCCAGAGCATCTGGAGGCATGCAGTTTGCCGGCCCCATTTGGGCCTGCCATCAGGCCCCTGCAAGAGTCGGCATTCTGAGCCCACTTGAGGGCAAGCGATCTTGCTGCATCTCTGCACTGAGCATGAGTGGTTAGCCCGATGGCATCCAGTGACCAAGCACAGTAAAAAATGCATCCCTAGGCTGATTGGAAGAGTTGGGGCAGGGGAACTGGAATAGTGAATCATCAACAGTGGGGCTGGGCAAACTTTCTGGATTCGTGGGCACACATGCCATTTTTTCAGGCCCAAGAGTGCATATGTCCAGCGGTCACTTTCAGAATTTGCCATTGTCTCACCCTCTCTTCCAAGGCCATGGGTCTCCATTTACTCCTTCTATATAAACGGTGCCTGTCTTGATATATGTCAGGACTTACTGCATCATCTCAGAGCAGCCTCC